TAGTTTTGTTTTCGTTGAGCCATTTGCACAAGAAAGCTCGGTAAATAAATCATATTTATCAAAGAAACAATAGTCCCCTTCACAGTTCCCTGCGCCATCTTGAAAGGTAGCCATGCCTTTACTTCGAAGCGAGACGAACGGTGAGCTTGCAATGACAGAGACCTTTTTTAACACTTTGGACAATTATTCACATGTCTATCAATGGAAGCTCACCGTTCGTCTCGCTTCGATACAAAGGCACGGCTACCTTTCAAGATGGCGCAGGGAACTGTAAAAGGGACTATAGAGGTTTTGCACCATCACCTGACGGCAGCCATGTCAGATGGCAGGCGTTTTACATGAGAAAGAATTCAATTCCCGAGAGCAAAGGGATTTTAATGTTCTGCCATCCAACCAGAGGCAATCCAAGCTGGATTATGGCGCCGGCACGTGATGGTGCAATACCTCTATTGTCTTTAAAGTGCTATGGTGCTATGGTGCTAGGTGCTATAGGAGGGGAGGGGCAACTTCCCATTGACATTAGATTGCAAAACATGAAATATGGCTAAATTTGTATCCGGACAGTATTGACCTTGAAATACCTGCGTGTAATTTATAATACCTTGACTTCAAGTTGTTCCAGGTAAGTTGGACTGAAATACCCAGTGAACTTCAGCGACACATTTACCAACTTGACGTCCTCCTCATCTTTAACAACTGTCGTATTGAATGCCAATAGTGACTCGCTACTTCCACATTCGACCTCAAGTAAAAAAAAATACTTAGAGGTGTAGAGAGATGGATGATACTAGCAATGTGAAATGCTGGCTCACAGACCAAGTATGGGAGATAAATGCTCCTAGTAATGGGCCCCTGATCCGGGAATATGTTGGTTCACAGACCCGGTATGGCTGTCAGATGGATGCTCCTAGTGATGGGCTCCAGATCAGAGAATACGCTGGCTCACAGACCCAGTATGGAGATTGATGCTCCTATAGTAATGGGCTCCTGAWCTGGGAATATGTTGGCTCACAAACTCAGTATGGAAGCTGTGGATGTTCTTTGTAATGAGCTCCTGATGATATGTTGGCTCACATAGCCACCTGGACGAATTGCTAAAGTAATAAAATGGTTGGCGTTAAGTCGACGTTGGTTACCTTGACAACTAGACAAAAGAGAGTGTCAGGTGGTTCACTGATCAGCCTGTTGACTTTGATACTAAGGTTTCTTCGGTCAGCGGTTATTACTCCATTTTCTGTTTCTGCGAATAAATTCAAGTTTTCTTTTTCATTGTCATTACAAAATTGCGGGTTACCTTTGTAATTTGTCATCTGTCTATGACGCAAGGATGAACGCACGCTAACATATATGTAAGACATCAACGTAAATAAATCTCTTGTCTTGCAAATCGCAGTCTGCATCTCAGTTTGATATAGTCAGACAACGGCGGTTTCAAGACAATGGTGCCGAACCATACACAAATTATAAAGGCAACCGACAATATCGTTATGACATTCATTTTGAAAACAATTTATTATACACTTTTTTAGTATACACTTTTATATTTTTACTTTTGACGATAGTAAATGACTGGACTTCTTTCTTCTTTGAGCGTAATGTTTTCCCATTTCAGTCCATGTGTCTTCTCATGCACAACCGTTAAACAAAGAAATGATACTCTAGGGAATGACACGTGGTCTGAAATGGGAAATCAATACGCCTATTGCTGTGAAGATGGACGCTTAGCCTAAAAGGGGCCCAAAGACAGTCGAGACTGGAAAGCGAATCTGGTTTTACGTACTTTTGATTATACTCAAGTTTCTGACTTTGCTTTTATCAACACATTCAATTTTTGATATGTGAGTTCCCTGGAAATGAGGTATGAGATAAAAAAAATAGACTTTTTTGCTTTTAATGTTTCCCATTTCAGACCACGTTTCATTCTCTTGAGAATATGATTCTTTGTTTGAGTCGTAACCATATTCATGTATCTTCTCTTGTGCAACTGTTAAACAAAGAAATGACACTCTAGAGAATGACATGTGCTCTAAAATGGAAAAAACATTACACATAAGCTAAAGAGGTAGAGTTTTAAAACGAATATCATAATTTGTTATTGTTTTTCGTCGTTTATTTTTGCTTTTGTTATTGTTTGGTTTGTTTTTGTTTATTGTTTTATATTTTTGTTATTGTTTTTTGTTTATTTTTGGTTGTTTATTTTGGCTTTTGCTCTTTATTTTGCTTTTGTATTGCTTTTCGCTATTGTATTTTGTTTGTTTGTTTGTTTGTTTGCTTAATTTTTTCGATGGAAATTCCACCGCAGTTAGAACAGAAACTATGAGGTGCTATGAATGTAAACTTCCCGTGTTCAGTGTTCAGTCAGTACCTTTGTAGACCATTGTTTTAAAATATTTCTCTTATTCGATAAAGCTCTGATCTCGATTGTCTTATTAGCTTGAAGTGATGGAGAACCCGCATCCTAAGAGAAGTTGAAAGTGAATATATTTGTTGTATTAAGCAAGTTAGGCCATGGTTTGTCCGCCATGTTGGATGACAACTTTAGGGAATTAATTAACATTAGATAATTGATTATAAAAACAGGAAAGTGATCGTAATATTTATATTTGTGATATGTATGAATGCATACACTTATTTCAATAAAGTTAGTCACCAAAAACCTAGAAAGCTGAGATCACTGAGCATCATGGGAAACTTCATATCAAAAAAGCATATATATACAAAGCTTTTTTTAATACAAACTGCAGCTTGATGATGCTCAGAAGAGATGAGGCTGTAACCGGTAAAAGATTCGCAAGTCCATGGACAGTTATCAAGCGGTTGAACGTGTAAAATGAATCTATCCATAATCCTTGTCGGCCTCAGCTTTATAGCTTTTCACGTGACTAACTTTATTGAAATAAGTGTATACAAATACATATTTTAGGGACACAAGTGAAAAACGTCTGCGCATGCTCTAAATCCGTATGCAAATTAGTCAAAATTTGACTTTCAAACATGCCTGATAAATTGGACCTCAAAAAACAAAAACAAAACAAAATTAAGGGTAATTCTTTCATATTGTGTTTGTTAATACAGTATCTGTTTGACAAAAGTATGCTCGTGAACTTTTTTGTATACTCGGAGAAAACAAACATTTATTTTCTCACTCAAACTCTTCAAAATTCGTAGAAAACGTGCTGAAATGCACGTATGTGCAAACGTTTTTCTCTAGTGTCTATTTTACCAAGAATTCACGACAAGTGGTCGCCATGTTGGATGACATATTTAACAGGGACTTGTTTATTGTGAGTCGTACGTCATAAAGTGGATCTCATAGCTACTCGCCTTTGCTGTGATAATAACCTTGTAAACAAACGACGAATCAAGGAAATGTTTAACAGTGATAATGCCACTTTTATCATCAATAGCAAACTTTTGTCCCTAAAATATGTATTYGTATACACTTATTTCAATAAAGTTAGTCACCTGAAAAKCTATAAAGCTGAGGCCGACAAAGATTATGGATAGATTCATTTTACACATTTCCTTTATTATTTCATGCCGTGATCACAGCCGTGATCACAGCCGTGATCACAGCCGTGATCACAGGAGTGATAACAAGGTCACGCTTTTAGGGGTGATGACGGGCGTGAAGAGTGATCACGCTGTGATCACATTTTTTTCATACTGGGGACGGGTCTGGGAGTATGGTCTTCGGTTATTTTTWTTCAATAAATAAAAATAATTCAGTAAATAAAACATGTATACCCTTGTTACCAGAGCGGTAAACAATGATGACTGTCGACGGTTACGGTTGCGAGGAAAGAGAAATATGGCGAATCCTCACACAATCCATTTCGTGATGAAATCCATTGAGATATTTTCGTCAGTTATTAGAAAAATTTTACAAACAATGCGAAGAATTTGTGGCATCCTCACGCAATCTATCGCGTGACTAGATCTAGTTAAGACAAAAAATATGGCAAATTATGAATTGATTGTTGTGCTTAATATATTTCTCACGTACCATCGCGTGCCTACATCAACCAAATAGATTGCACTTAGAATCTTGTCGTTCTCACGCAATCATCTATCGCCCGAAATCTCTTTCATCAAATTTAGTAGACTGCGAGCAGTCCCAATTTTCCCTCCAGACTCAGTAACGGACGAGCCCAAAGGAAACCTAAACCACTCGTCTTTACTGAGTCTGGAAAGAAAAGTGCACTGCTCGTAGTCTACAAATTTAGGAGCAGGCGTATAACGCAGTTGGTCCGGTACGCGGCCTTCGCGAGCATCCTCGGGATCTCCACGTCTGTTTCGACTTCTTTCTTACTGTGTAGCTTCAGCTTTGACTATACGACTTTTCGACTTACGCGAAATACAGTTACTATACTTTTACATTCTTTTACCTTTATTGTTAATTATTATATAGTTAGGATAGTATGTGCGCGCTGATTGGTCGAAAACTGTGCTTTATTAGTGAACGGAGCACTGTGCTGAGGCCATCCGCGCGCGCGAAGTGCTGCTAGATCCTATTCCACAAAAATATATTCGTTTTTCGTGATTCATTATTACTTCCACCCATGTATTAATCTTTTAGCTTAAATTACTAAATTCAAATTCGATATTATACACCTAATTCAGAAAACGTTGTCAGACGATATAGGCGATAGGTCATTCCGACTTTGAAATGGTTTCGTTGAATACAAAGAACACTGAATCAGTCTCAGCACGAAGTCCATACTCTTGACGAGAATAAGAAGCAGAAACACAAGTCATTCCAGCCCTATCGCTTTTCGCCTATCGCCTATAGCCTTTTTGACGTTTTATACGTAGTTTAAAAAAGGTTGTTATCGCCAAAAGCGATAGGCGATAGGCGATAGGCGAAAAGCGATAGGGCTGGAATGACTTGTGTTTCTGCTTCTTATTCTCGTCAAGAACATGGACCTTAGTGTTGAGACTGATTCAGTGTTCTTTGTATTCAACGAAACCATTTCCATGTCGAAATGACCTATCGACTATCGCCGATTTATGGCGATGACAACGCGTATCAAATATGCGTATCAGTTCGAGTTTGATCATTTGATCATCCCAAAGCCGTTGTTTCAGGGTTTGATCTGTGACTGTTAACTGTGCCCTGACTTTGATCAGATAGAGCGGTTGTTTCAGCCTGTGAGTTAGTATAGCCGTGCCCTGTGGACTGATCAAATTCAGCTTATGCCAAGTCCAGGAGAAGGGTGTCGGGGAAGGGAGTAAAGGAGTGGAGGAGGGTAGGTAGAGAAATGTCTCAAGCAATATTGTTTATTAATTGATAATAATAATGTTTATTGATTAATTGCTTTACTGAAAGGTTATCTGGCTCTAATAATCTTTCTTCTCCCTGGCTTCCATGACTACCGTACGATCAACAATTCTTGTTGTCTTCCAGATGCCTTCGTACGTGATCTACTCATTCTATTGTCCTGTTGACCCAGCTGCTCCATGACTGACCAACGTGGAATTTGCAAAAGAAACTGACTTTATACCTTGAAATTAAGCTCTTTTTGAATAAATAAAATCACTATCCTTCATACAAACAAGTTAAAAATCTCCATAACGATATTACTCGGAGGGGACTCAGAATTATGTTGGCAGAGATTTCTAGAACAAGAACAGATGTTAGAATCTGTAATAATGAGAGATGGTCTACGTGAGGCTTACTCGCCCTGGAACATTCAAAGTATATGGATAATCCATCATATGAATAGCTTAAGCATTTTTTTCACTGCCCGGGGAGTTTATTCCATTTTAACAAAGACTAACTGTACGTTAATAGCCACGCTCCAACTCGCGGGCGCAACTAGTTCGATCGCGGCGAAGCAACCGGAGGTAAAACTTATCAGACCGGAAGTAAGTGTTGTACATCTCGCCGCGCCGGAAGTACAACAACTTGTACAAGCCGGAAGCACCAGATTTGGTTCACACGAAAATGCTTCGCTTAGATTGGTATCTCGAATCTTAGCTTTTTTATAACAGTTTTCTGTTTGATTTATCTGAATGGCTGCGTTGCTTTTCAGGGGAGACACCTTACTGCAACCTCACCCTACCACGTAAGGTAATCATTCATGTTATTTATAGACCAGCAGCCGAGTATAATTCAGTTATTTTAAGCTGTTTAATTCAGTGTAGGGCACACCTTAAATAACCGATAATTTTAACGGTTCATTGCCAAAGAATAATTCACGTGTTCAGTGTCATTTGGTCCTTTTAGCAAGCAGATCTACCATCTTTAACCCCCCCCCCCCCCAAACCCTCTAAATTTGGCCTCGGTCGTAGCAATTGCTTCGGCCAGCATGTCGTGCCTGTGCGCCCTGCGTGATGGTAGGAATAATATCAAGGTTTAGTGTCAAATTGGTAATTAAAGTTACATCCACGATCACGTAGACCTTTTCCATGTCATGTTTGCGTAAACAAGCTCAGTGATTCGGAACCTAGGAACCCTAGTCTCCTACGCAGCCGCTATTAGTTTAGTAGGAAACTTGCAGGCTGCTTTACAGGCTCACGATCTTCGCTATCTGAATTTATCCAATGAGCATTTTATAGAACATCAATTTGAATCTTGTGATGAGCGCATTACTTACACACTAAACTGAGTTCATCAACTGCCCGTGATCGTTTATTTTTACATTCCTTCTAGATGGATATCTTACTGCGTGTGCCAGCATGAAAATGGGCCATGACTTAACCAGCACAGAGGTTAATTTTCAATTTTCGTAACATCTACAATAACACAGGTCTCTCAATTTGAATTTTTCTTTAGGTATTCCTGACTAAATATGAAGGCTCCAGTGATAAACTTTTAAACGTATACACTGTCTAAATATATATATATACCATGAATAGTGTGCCAAGATGGCTGACGCACGGAAGCCGTCCTAGTAGCGTGGCTGAGGCTAATAGGCGAATTTTGGAACATGTATGACTCTAAGTCGCAAGGATCACACTCTGTGTTCTAGCTGGCCCCATGTGTTCCAAGGTTCATTTAAGGGCCTTGGATTCTCAAACAAACAGCTGCCAGCACTTGACTCTTAGTGCCTCTCCTCTTTGCACGCGAAACATGCTAGTTTCAGTTGGGGAATTCGAAGTTCGAAGAAATACATTGTTCTTAAGTTCCCAAATAGTAGCTAGAATTACAGTGGAGGAAAAAATGACRTACAGGACCTTCGGAAGACTAGTCAGAGTCTCATTGAAAGTTTTTAATTTAAGAGGTCATATACCCCATGCTATTCACCCTAAACCCACCCTTCCATCGGCCAGTGAAGTTTTGTTGAAGAAACTTTCGATAGTGACAAAGAAAGTACAAGATCAGGTTGCATTCTAGTGAGTATTTTTAGGCATATTTACAGCTCGAGTGAAATTGGATCGGAAATACTTAGCAAATAATGATATCATTCTATTATTGTTTGATTGTGTTCTTCATATCGATCAGGAAAAGATAAGAAGTGCTAAAACAACGTGATACTGACGGTTGTACCCCCCACCCCTGGATCCGCCCTTGGCAAACTCAGGTCTTTTCCACCAGCTTTGCATGTTCTTGATTGACCATCAGCTCGATTCAATATATTGAACTCGTGACCCAGTGCAAGCCATTTCTTGTTCATATCTGATTGGAAGCGACTGTTCAACTGCCGATTAAGCACAAATCATGAGCTTGCATACTAGATAATAATAAAAATGACATAATAAAAAACAACAYATTAGCCGCGCTCAAGTGGGCTTATCCCGTACGTAAATGTCTTTCGCACTTTATATCTTGCTATTAAACCATTGACCTACGCCCTATAGCGATCAATATCATACCCCTACGATGATTGATCAAAACCATTCTTTGTTTATAGTCTCTAGTCCGGGAATGCATCGATTCAGAAATAAGGCTCTTGAAAGATATTTTTTTAGATTTCTTGCTGAGCTTTCACGAATGCGGCGAGGAAATCCCAAATTATTGGCAGATCTAGTTAACGAACCTTTCGCTGATTCTTGTGAATATTCAAAGTTGAACAGATGTGCGCAAAAGATATACGTGTGTCTCTCCACGTACTGGAGCCAGTACTTGCCCCCCTCCACTAAACCGTGGCGGCTTTTAAGGGTGGAATCAACTGCCTTTTTCTAGTCAGCTGAACAGTCATAAAGCTATCTTATTTCCTTTATCACACGTTAAAAGTTTTCCCCCTTTGCTTTTATTGAATACGGGCATATGTTATAATCACAAACGATTTTACAACCATCAAAAACTCAAACATCCGGAATTAACGCGTGATTTCGCTTGATCTAAAAAAAGATATCCAAAATCTAAGATACCGTTTTGAAATTCATTGTCTACAGAGTTAAATTCCGATAACTTTTTTATGTTCTAAAACAGACAATTCTAAATAAATATTCGAAAACTACGTTTATTTAGCTTTCAGAAAATGTATACTTTTATGGCAAAATATTGTAAAGTCCGTGCAAAATTTGAGGTAACGCGCTGGTATTATGTGTCCAAATCCCCTCCTGATACCTTAACGCGTTCTTCGACATTTATTTAGCTATTGAATTGAACAGCAACACAGTTCAACAATTTTTAACAGCAAATCTTTCTCCGGGAACCGGGAAAAGTACTAAATAACGCTGCGTGAGTGTGCTTTGGCCAATGGATACAACGCTATAGTTATATCAGTTATTATTATCAAATCCCCCTCCCTGTCCCTGGGGTCGGGGGGTCGGGGGTNGGGGGGGGGGACACTTTTTTACTATTTGGTTAATATAGTAAGAAATGTGAAAACAACAGCTTGAAATCTTCAAAAAATTCAAATCTACTCAACTCCTTTCTCTGAGTTTCTTTCTTCTTATCTTTTCTCTTTTACTTTTGCTTCGTTTTTTTCAGCGATTGACATACACCCGCAAACATGCAAACGATCTATCCATCTTCACCAACACCGGATATGACGTACGACACGCTGTGGGCGAGCCAATCAACGTTGTTGGTGAGGGAAAAGCCAAATGTCTCAATTACCGCATTGGGGTATAAAAGGACAAAAAATATTTCAACCAGAATTAAACTGCAGCAGTATTGTACTAGGTTACTAGGACTCGTAGCTTGTATTCGCGATTATTTTATTCCCATCAGTTGCATACCAGAGGACGGACAAAGATAATGGACTCGTTGAAGACCGTGAAAACTCACAGAGAAGAAAAAAGCTCGACTTTCAAGGAGCTGACCCAAGAATCTTCTTCGACGACAGGAACGAATACTGRAAGACAAATAGTTGGTCTGAATTATACCAGAGATAATCGTGCAGCCAGACTATTATCCTGTCAAGAAGTGATGTTTGAATACAGTATTGTGGTGGTAGTACTTGGGTGTTTCTTGCTGACAGCGTGGCTGAGAATCTTATTAAAAAATCCAACTTTTCAGAACAATACACTCGTCCGGCTATGAGAAGTGAAGCACTTATTCAAACTATCGTGAAGTAAGTCTTGATAGCTCGTTCAGAAAGTTCGCCAGTCGGGAGATTCGGGGCTTTATTTCTGTGCGGAGAATTCCTTCACCGAAGAATTTCAGAAAAAGGAATGACTAAACATTAACTTCTTTCAGCAAGACGGCCGCTGTCAAAGTTGAAAACAAATCTGAAGTGGTATCRCTTTCGAGAACTGTAAAAGTCAGTTACTACTGGAAAATCGTTTAGTGTATACAGACTTCATATACCGATGCTTTCTACAAAATCAGGAAAAACCTGAAGACTTATTATTTCCCAATTTCACAAAGCATGATGAAATATATATTGCAATCACTGTATCACGCGAGAGATTAACTCAGCTATACAGCTAGTATTTATTGCGCGTGTTAGGAGGATTGATGATGTAAAAACTGAAGTCATTTGCAAAGGCCAGGAAAAACCGCTGAGCCTTCCAGCCAAGCAAATCCTCAACTCACCTTAACTTATAACAATTATTTAGTTTGAGGCATAATGTCTGTATTTACCACTTGTGAAAACTTATTTAGTTTGTACTATGTATATGTATACTATTTATATAATATAAAATATTTGATGTATAAGATCATAGTTATTATAAACAAAGAAAAAATTTATGACTTCTATGTGTTTTGTTTTTTTTTTTCTTTTCTTTTTTTCCCAATTTTAATTCTTTGTCTGTCCTGGCTGTTTTGTAAAATCTGAAAGGAAGTATATTTTTAGCGGAAATCTTCGAATTTCGAGAATATTCCAGGCCTTTTTTAAGTAAAGTAGCGCAAGTGTTAAGGGATTAGTGCTGAATCCGGCCGAAATATTTTAAACAACAATATATGATGCAAGGTCTGAAACTCTGCTATTTTTGTAGTAACATAACCTGTGTTACCGGTTTGAAAGGGAAGGTCGATCGGGTCGTTGACGCAATTCGGATAGGTCTTTTGGCTGGCGACTGCTGCGGGGGTCAAATGAGCGGAACTGTTCCGATCGAAACTAAAGTACTATACAGTGGCTTCAAAGATAAATCATTTGATAAATACATTGAAAAGCCGACGCGCAGGCTGAGCGCCCACGGGATCAGCCTTCCTAGTCACGTGACCAACAGAAATGAGAAGTGACTGGCGACTATTTGTCTGCAAAAACTAAACTCGGGGTGATTTGCCTCGTATTGTTTTCAAGTAAGTGAGCAGCGTTACCATGGCAGCTGAGAGAAGAGGAACTTCCGGTGGAAGTGGAAGTTCCTGTACGGCGTGACTCAACGGAAACAGATTAGCCAAAAACGTTTTTCGGCGTCATGGTCAATTTCCTGATTTCCTCTACTCTTGTGACTTCGTGCGCAAAATTGTGTTTGTAAAGATACGGATAAAATGACAGTTTTTGATACTTTATATTTAAATTAGTAACCATTTCCCCCCCCCCCCCCCCCTCATATATATCATACTGTTCTTATATTCAGTGTCTATCACGCGCCTATTGGAAACCAGTTTATTTTTAATGAAAATGGTAACGTGTATAAATAAAGGTGATCTCAATGACAGACGATATAAAGTTTGCGTCCGAGTCGTCGGCCCCTCGTCCCCCCTCGTCGATTAACGATAGCAAATGAGTGAGCCTTGATCGTTTTAGCCAGCGGTATGGTGTGTTTATATTCATGACCGTGAAGGATTGAGGTCGAGCATCAAATGAAGATCCAAGATGGCGGCCGGTAGGCCTCCTTCAGCTCACTCTCACTCACAAACCACCCATAGAAGAAAGGTTTCTGTGTCGTTTGTGATCCGAGATGAAGAGGAAAAACGCCATAGATCTGGTGTTAACGCCTTGCAGTACGACTGCAACACGACAAGGCTTTATTCAGCCGGTAGAGACTCCATCATTAGATGTTGGAATGTCAAACATGAGCGAATCAAGGTAGAAARTTTGAAATATTTAATTCAAAATGAATCAAGGTTGGAAGGTTATTTTCATTCGATTATGTATGTCTCCCGTATGTCTGGTTCTTTGGATTATTTTTGCCGTTAATTTTTTTTCTCCGTTATTCGTTTATTTGTCAAACTTTACCGCCTACATTTCACATCCTTATAATTGAGATAATTCCGCCTATTATTTTCAATTCATTTGGCCACCAAATCGTACACTTTTGCTTTGTTAAATTTAATTATAGCTCCCTTCGTTTTCTTTTCCTATCATTATTTTTTCGTATTCAAAAAAAGTGTTTAGACATTTTTTATTGATATATATTATATTTTGGGTGGGGGGATGGAGAAAAATAACATCTTATCTCGTAATGTACAATACGCAAGATTTGAATTTTTTTTCAACACAGGACCCCTATATTGCCTCACTGGAGCACCATACAGACTGGGTGAATGACATTGTATTGTGCCGYAATGGAAAAACAAGTTAGTAATATTGTATTCATCTTTTGTTCCAATCTCAACACACTATCAGAGTTATCAGTGACACTTGTCTTTGAACAAATATTATTATTATCTATTATCAGTGATTTATTTATTTGTAGTTTCATTATAGCTGTTTCTACTTTGTTTATAAGGGATAACACTTTGACAAATATAAACACCTGATTGAAAAAAAGTTGTCGGGTTCGAGAAAAGGTTGTACATGTATCATCAAAGCTAAGACCGAAGGGGAGGATGGGAAGACAAACAATTATGCTAATTTCATGCATATTGCAGTTTTTCCTTCCTGTACATATTTTATGCATCATGGCCTTGGCACTTTGTTAATCTAGGTCGACTGACTTTGCTCTACTGTGCATTTTTACATGTCTATATGCAAATATAATACATGTTTCGGAGTACCCAAAATCCTTTTTGGTCTTAGCTTTGATGACATGACCTTCTCAAACCCGACTGCGTTTTTTCAATTAGGTGTATATTCAACTGATAAGCTTGTGGTCCTCTTTTAACATCTCTAGTTAGTTAGGGACCTCCTTCATCGTGATCATCTGGGCCACATTTCTTAAACATCTTTATTGGCCTTCAAATTTCTCAATAACTAGATAATTGACAAATATGTACATTAAAGGAAAAAAAGAAAAAGGAAAATAAAATACAAGAAAGAAGGACCAAGAGGGTGGGCACGGATGGACCTAGAGTCCCATGCGAGGCACATGAAGGTCTAACCATTTTCATCGCGGCCATGTTGGTACCATTTAACAAAAGATTTCTCATTAGCATCCATTGTTAACGGTACCACAATGGCTGCCATGTTTTTGTCTTTTAACTCTCTTGGGAATGCTTGCAACCCATCGATTAAGAAGGCAGTGCAACAGACAGATACTCTTACCAATTATTGTGCTAACTGAGCAGCAGTTAGAACAGACCAAATAGAAATACATGAATCATAAAACAATGTGACCAGTTAACCTACTACAACACATTTTTATCACTCACAAATACTTGTGAATCTCAGTATTATTTAATTCCCATTCAAGTTTCATTTCCCATTTCCCCCCAGTTTTGTCAGCATCATCGGATACAACAGTAAAAGTATGGGATGCMAGCAGAGGATTCTGTATGTCGACACTGAGGACTCATAAGGATTATGTCAAAGCCCTTGCATATGCTAGTGATAAGGAACAAGTGGCATCTGGTGGGCTTGATAAACAAATATTCTTATGGGATGTTAATACTTTAACAGCATTAACGGCTACAAATAATACTGTTACAAGTAAGTTAGTGTGTAATATAGGATGTTAATTACTTTAACGGCATAAACGGCTACAAATAATGCTGTYAAAATTAGAATGATTAGAACAAGGCAATAATGTTTGGGCTTACAAYGAATATGATTACCCCATAAAAGAGCGTTTTCACTCACGTGAGGAGGCAGCCATAAACAATAGAAACTTTCTGTACAGTATTTGTATAAAAATAGAGTTCAATTCCCGGAGGATAAAAAATGTATTGTTTTGGTACCCCATAATTGCTGCTGTGACGCCACATGAATTATAAATGCTCTATAGAATTTTTAATAAGTATTCAAAGAAATTGGGAAAGGGAAAAAAGATAGGATGAAAAGAATGAATAAATGAAAGGGACGGAAAAAGAGTAAAGAATTACAAGTACACTATGATAAAATTTTGTTTTTAGCCAGTTCCTATGGTACTGTATATTGCAATCCTATCCTTGACTCTACTGATTGCTCATATAGTATGACATAATGTATATATYATAATGTTAATGCTCATTTCTATGTTAATTGTTTTTCTAAATCGGCAGCATCATCTCTGAGTGGACAAAAGGATTCCATATATAGTTTAGCCATGAATCGTTCAGGAACTGTGCTCATATCTGGCTCTACAGAAAAGGTACAACGTTGTGATTATCATCACAATGATTAAGCATTTTAAAACTTTAAAAGATATTGTAGTTTTATTTGTGTATAATATAGTACTTCTCAGTAGCATGTGGAATAATTCTACAATTTGTCATGACAAATTAGAGTTTTGATGAATGTCAATCAAAGTGTTTCTTTGAAATTTTTGGCCTCGGAAAACACAAGTTTTCAAGGACATGTTTATATAATATGGAATATCATGGAAATACCTTTCATCCTACAAGACCTACTTTGTTGCAACAATAATGGACTACTTCAACGTTGCAGTGGCCATCTTGGGTTGCATGGCGTTATAGGGCATCAAGGGGGCAAATAAAGCTTTGTTACGGTAATGACGTCAATTGATATTAATAGCTCAGCAAAAAACAATACAACAAAATATGAATTAAGATGGCCCCTTGATCACCTTTACCCATAAAAGATAAACATGAACACACAAAACTYTACATATTCTCCATCATCTTTGTTTTGTTTTGCCCTTGGCAAGATGGCCGCCATATCGTTGATGTAGTCCATTGAGAAGCAGGAAAAGCTAGATTCAGAAACTCTGAATGATGTTCTGATGTGCTGATATGTTGATAATTGAATCATGACAGGTATTAAGAGTATGGGATCCTCGTACCTGTGGTAAAGTAATGAAACTAAAAGGCCATATGGATAATGTTAAGGCTATTACTATTGACGCAGATGGCACGCATGTAAGTACATAATAATTTCATTATCCATTCCACTGTCAAAATTATTATTCATTATAGTTCTTATTATTTATTTAGCTACCCAAATCACTCACACTGATAATCATAGTCTTTATTACCCATCTCATTTCTCCTCTCACTCTTCATCCCACTTTTACATCCAACCCCTATTTCCTTTCTCATTACATTGCATGCTCCCAATCCTAWTTGTTTTCTCATTCCCACTATGCATCCAAATCTCACTTTTCACCTGCTACCCCATTCCCTATCCCATTGTTCATTGGACTTCCTTGTCATCTCCTAATAGCACTCTTCCTTTTCATATTGAATCCTCTTACCCAAACATCAAAAATAAAAAATTAAATGGGATTTGGCAGTAGTGGCATTTCTATAGAGTAGTTCTTCCTCCACTGTAATTCCATTGAAATGCAGGAGTTAATTTTTCTGGAGGGAGAAAAAGGAGAACCCATACAAAAACCCTTGAGGCACAGGAAAGAAACGTCAAGAAACAACTCAACATAAATATGCRGGACACCAAGTGYGRGACTCAAACCCAGGTCACATTGGTGAGAGGAAAGTGCTCTCACTGGTATAACGCCACCCATACTTCCCTGTCAAAATGAACACCATCCTTTAATGTAAAGCTTTCCTTTCATCTTATGTCTCACAACTTGTAGTGTTTATCTGGGAGTTCAGATGGTTCAATACGCTTGTGGTCTCTTGGCCAGCARCGTTGCATAGCAACCTATCATATACACGAAGAAGGTGTGTGGGCATTGTATGCCAATCATAGTTTTACAGAATTCTTCTCTTCTGGTCGAGACAAACATGTTTTCTGGACAGACATGACCAAGGATGATAGCTCTGTTCTGCTGTTTGTAGAAGAGGCACCTGTCTTAAAGGTAAACAGGTCTGCATTGGAAGTCATTTTCATATAGATAATCATATTTTGAACTTCTTAGTTAAAAAGTATACTGTATTCAACTTTAGCAATACACCTGGCTATGCTTGAGTGTCCACCCAAACAATGGGTACCTAGTTTTCCAATGGAATACMGAATGTCYTACCAACAAATCAAATTCATAAGAATATTTAGTAGTCATCGATGAGAATGCATCGATTCTCAGACAGACATTWACAAATTCCAGCAATCAGTGTCTGTCCCATGTTGTATATCAAAAACACATTTTAACTTGTCCGACGTAGCAACAGTATCTAGGGAGGTGGATTAATGAATGTGGGATCGCCCTTTTATCAATGATAAACACTGCCAGCAAATCTRTGGGGAGAAKTTAGAGTTGCCGTACATAGYAACACTATTTAATCATGYGCTGTTACTCCAACCTCRACTTGGAACTACTATTTGTGGTTAAAAGGAGTATTACATTATTATCATCATCAATATTCACCATTCCACTGTTGCAGCAGGTCGAGTCCCAAGTAACATTTCCTACATCAGCAGGAATCATGTTTTATCCCTCATTTATTTTGCAATTGTATTTTAGGCAGGATCTCTTCATAGTTTTTCCAGGGGTCTTGGGTAATTTTTACTTAATACTGTAATATACTGGCACAAAAACCCAGCTTGGGGTCCCTGTATCCTCTATGTTATCTGACTCTAATGCAGCATATTCTTTTTTTTTTTCTACTCAGTAATTTTTTCTTTTGCAAGAGTTTGAAAACCTGAAATGATCCTTACATTTTCTTTCAGCTTGAGTATTGTCCTGATCCAATGTGCCTGTGGACAGCAACAACAAATTCAAATATTAACTGTTGGGTAAGAGTTTGAAGGTTGTCAATCATCATTATCATA